GGGTGGTGAATGTTTCTCGGAGGTCAGCAAGGTGATCCGGCTGTAGCTTAGATTTGACTATCATGTCATCAATGTATGCCTCTACATTCCTCCCAATTTGATTAATGAAGACTGCATTAATCATTCGCTGGAAAGTAGCAGGCACATTCTTCATCCCAAACGGCATAGCCGTATAACAGAATAACCCTTGATCAGTGACGAATGTTGTCTTCTCTTGATATTTTTTCCACAAGGGTATCTAATGAAAGCCTGAGTAGGCGTCTATGAAACTCATCAAGGCATGACCGGTTGTAGAGTCGACCACACTGTCGATCTTTGGGAGTGGATAGCTATCCTTAGGACATGCCTTGTTGAGATCTGTGTAATCAACACACATACGCCATGTACCATTCGGCTTTTTCACAAGAACAACGTTTGCTACCCAATCCGGGTAGTAACATTGCCGAATGAATCTGGCATCCATCAACTTCTTGTCCTCGACGGCAGCCGCCTGAGATCTCTCCTCGCTGTGATTTCTCTTCTTTTGCCTAACCGGCTTCTTTTTTGGATCCACGGCGAGTTTGTGGACAACAAGATCCGGGCTGATGCATGACATCTCTTCCACTTCAAAGGCAAAGATGTCTTTGAATTCTTTCAACTGTTGGTGCAGGTCGGCATCCAACTTTGCAAAAGCAGCGGTGCCCACCTTAACAGTTCGCTCCGGACGTGCATCGTCTAGAGGGATGTCAATATGCTCACCAGCCGGCTGGGGCCAGAGTGCGTCTGACCGCTCCACGATTAGTGATTGCTATTGCTTTTCTTTTTTGACGACCACCAACTGGTCCGCCTTCCTCTTTTTGCCGGCTGCCTTAGGAGTAGGCGCGACTTCCTTGAAGTCATCAAGGTTAATGGATTTGCCACCTTGGCCGGCTGCGACCACGGTAGGCTTGACGTCTAAGAGATAGCACTCCCTAGCCGTCTTCTGATCCCCATTCATGGAGCCCACTGACCTATCATCCCTCTCAAATTTCAGCAGCATGAGGGATTGGATGATGACTGTCTTGGACTCGTTGAGGGTTGGACGACCCAAAATCAGATTGTAGGTCGTCAATTCCTCAACCACCAAAAATTTGACGACCATGTGTCGTCTCTCCCCTTTTTCTCCAAGCCGAATGGGTAGGTCAATCTCCCCACCGGATGCACTACTCCACCCCCAAAACCAACTAAGGGATGAGAGACTTTGTGCATGCTGCTAGGCTTGTACTTGAGCTTTGCCAAGCACCTGTAGCTGATAAGATCAGACAAGCTCCCAGTATCAATAAGGATCCGGCCCACTTGTTGATTGGAGACCTTGCACTCAATGACTATGGGGTCATCATGTGGCCGCCTAACCTTGCCACAGTCCTTCTCAGATGATGACCTCAACGAAGGTGTCTTTCGACGCCTGGCCCTCATCAACTGAGTTGACCTCCAGCCTTCTAATGTATTCCTTGGTGCCCCGGATGGTAGGACCCCTCCACCAAAACCGCCTGCTATTATATAGATCTGATCTTCATCAGTGTCGGAGCTAATAGCATGCTGGTCTGACTTTTTGGACGATTATCCACTGTTTCTTTTGTGGGTCGCCTTGAACTTTAGAAGGTAGGACTTCAGTACCCCTTTGTCAGCCAGACGGTCCACTGACCGCTATAGCAGTCATTAGTGTCATGGCCAATATCCTCTGAAAGTGACAATATTTGTCCTTGTCCCGACTTTTGACGAGACTTTTCATTGCAGCCGGCTTCTCAATAGTCACCCGGTCTATGATCTCCATGAGGATGGAGTAACAGTCTTTGTTGAACTCGTACTTGGGGACGTACGGTTTTAACTGTTATTTCTTCTTCTGGGATGGCTGACCAGAATGGTCCGCCACTTAGACCTCTATCCTTTTCTTGCACTCTTCTTTTTTAGCCGGCTGAGCTGGCCGGCTTTCTTTTTTGTCGGACTTTTTAAGGTCCGACGGCTGCTTGATGGAATAGAGCTCTGTCACCTGTATATAGGCTTCAGCTTCCATCAAAGCTTCTTGGAGGGTAGCAACCCTCTTTCTGACCAGGTCGAACTTAAAGGTCGACCTGTCCTTTAGACCCTTGAAGAAGTCTGTGTAGGCAACTTCGTGAGACAACCCTTGAATCTAAATTCTCATCAGATTGAACCGCCTGACATAAGACCTTAGCCCCTCTCTATCTCCCTGCTGGATAGCTCCCAACTCGAGACTTGTCTTTTGGCGGGGATATTTATCGAGAAGTTGGACGCGAACAAGTATGCAAGCGTCTTGAAATTGTTGATGCATCCGGTTGGCAGATTCCCAAACCATCGTTGGGCTATACCCTTCAATGTCACCGGAAAGCATCGCCATCAGGCGGTGTCATCCTACCCCTGTAAATAAATGAGGTTGGTGTATATCATTAGATGGTCTTTCGGGTTGGTGGTACCGTCATAGGTACCAACCAACACATTCTTAACCTTTGTTGGCTGAGCCTCCTCGTTTATCTCCCTGGAGAACGCCGACGGCTGTTCCCCAAGGTTTAGTAGCCAGAGTAGCAAGTCCATTGACTGGACATTCAGTGCCGCCTGACCCCCAAAGAAGGCCGGCTGTTGGGGCACATACGGTGCCTGCTAGATAATCTGAGGGCCAGTTCGTGCGGACATGCCGCGTGAATGACTCTCTTGGTTTGTTTCCGAATACCTCATTGATGCATTTGGGAAACTGTCTGGGTAAGTCGATGTTGAAGCCGACTCAAACAATTGTTGGCTTCTCTTGTGCTGGATTAACATCGGGGCATTCGAGTAAGTTTTCTTTGATCCATCCGGCTGAACTTGCTGGATGGCTTTCCTTTTCCCTGCTTCAGGGAAACGGAGTTTTGATAAATCAATCATGGGCCCATCCGTCCCCTTTGGTTTAAGGTGAGGAGTAGCCACACGATCCTTCACATGCTTCTTCCCTGAGGGAGAAGGCTTCTTGGCCGACTAACCCTTGTTGGTGCCAGTCGTCCTCTTGTTTATCAAGTCCTTCATTTCCCCTTTGAAACTTATCATGAATTTCATGAGTTCGTCTCTTGTAACAAGGGCAGCACCCTCCACCGCCTGGGGTTGACCAGCCGGCTTGACGGTTGGGCTGCTTGGACCAGCTTTGTCTTCACCCCATTCCCTTGTTTCCTTGGAACGTGTGCGTCTTGTTCTAAGTGACCCGTCTGGGGCCACATAGGTGTCGACATCGAAGTCATCACCACTGTCTTGGTCTGTATAGACCTCAATATCGGCTATAGACCATTTGCCTTCAGCAGGCGGTACAGACTCTTATGCCATCTCAAAAGTACTCTCCCCATAGACGGCGCCAAATGTTTCGGGGTTTTTGCAGTCCCTCGGGAGAGTTACAATTCCAAGAATGCATGTCGACCGTCTATACCTGCAAAACCATGAAAACTCCGGTTGGGTGGAGTTCCGCCTCCGACGATCAATTTAGTACGAGTACGGACGGATTTAAAAATGCGGAATGTAAAGGATTTTCTCTCGGATTCCGAGAGAGAGTATTTGCAATTAATATTGCTCTATTTATTGAGAATTTCTCTTAATGTGCAATAAATGGGGATCTCTCCCTATTTATAGGGTTTGACGATCAATTCCCCTTTCATGACATGGACTGCTACGTGTCCTCAAAGGATTGGTTCTTTCAGAACCTCTTTGAGGTTGACACGTGTCAGTATGCGATTGGTCCACGTGGACCGGGGTATTTTTACCCTAAAAAGGAGTCAATCGAGCAATCTCATTATACCTATTCATCAAAGCTTCTGTTTGGAGACAATCGAGCAATCTCATTATACCTATTCATCGAAGCTTTTGTTCGGAGACAATTGAGCAATCTCATTATAACTATTCATCAAAGCTTATGTTCGGAGTTAATCGAGCAATCTCACCATTCGTTACCAATTCATCGAAGCTTCTGTTCGCAGCCAATCGAACACTATCACCATTTGTTACCAATTCATCAAAGCTTCTGTTCGCAGTCAATCGGACACCCTCACCACTTATCTTTCCAAAAGCTCTTTTGTTCAGAGACGTGTGAACATACATTCAAAGCTCTTTTGTTCAGAGATGGGTGGACATTTCATTCAAAGCTCTTTTGTCTAGAGACGCGTGGACATTTCATTCGTAGCTCTTTTCTTTAGAGACGCGTGAACATTTCTTTCAAAGATCTTTTGTTTAGAGACGCGTGGACATCCCTTTCGAAGCTCTTTTGTACAGAGACGCGTGGACATTCCTTCCCTTTCGAAGCTCCTTTGTTCAAAGACGTAAGGAAAATTCCTTTCAAAGCTCTAATGTTAACAGACGTGTGGTCATCCCTTTCGAAGCTTCTGTGTTCAGAGACGCGTGAACACATTTCAGATCGACATTGCTAATTGAGAATGAGGAGGTTGCCACTTGATTCGAGAAGACGACTCAAAGAGAAGTAGTCTTCAACGGCTGTAACACACTAGAAATTCCTTTCCTTTAAAAATACCTATTTTGCTCTTTTAAATTATGAAGTAGGAAAATCTAAGACATTACCGCCACCGTGAAAACGCCTAAGACAAATATCAAAAACACACAACGAAAAACTATTGTTCATAATTACTTAAAACAAGTCAACTTTAAAAAAAAATAACCCAAAAGAAAGTAAAGTCAAACGAAGTCAAACAAAGTCAACCTTAACTTGGAACCATTGTAGGCCCTTAAAACACAAACATTATTAAAAACCCTTTACGTTAGTCTCATAAACACAATAAAATAAATAATATGTAAAACAAATAAAACACATCACATTCCTATGGGAACTAAGCATGATTTGCTCTTCACTCATGCCCATCATAAAAATGCTTCTCTCTACTTGTCCCCACTATTCGCCATTAGAAATGGGTCGTCGTAGGGCCAAGGTAAAGACAAGGCCAAACAAACATACAAACACACAATCAGCAATGCTGAGTACATAAGCGTAATAAAACACACTAACATGTTTCCATCCTAACATCCAACAACTTACCGTGTTGCACCTGTTTACAAGCATACAAACATTCAACATTCAACTAGACAAATAAGTAGTCTAATTATTTAGCTTGATTACGCATCGAACGGGTTTCCCCCTAACCTGCCCCAATAAAGGGGTACTAACACGGGAGCTAACCGTGCTAATAAACAATAAACCACTCGTAAGTGGTGGAATTCCCGCGCATAATAAAATAAGGAAAATACAGCATCCTGTACTCCCAGTAGAAGTTATGGTCAAATATAAAGTCTCATAACTCCCCCCATATGTTCATACTCAAGGTGTATACGTTCCAAGAGTTTTGGTGCGTAATCTGTTTCACTTTACGTTATTTACGTATTATTAGACTTGGTGATGACTCTCAAACCATAACACAATCAAACATTATAATTCATGCAAGCAATCAAACATACCAATTTAATTCTTAAATAATTAGTGACCACATAAATTTAATGTTGAATCATTTTTAAACTACCCCGGTGTTAAATAGCACCTTAAGCGCATAAAGCACCACAAATCTTATCCCTCAGTGTTTAGAACACCTTAAGTGCACTTAGGCACCAAAAATATAATTTAATCCTCGTGTACATATAAACTTAAATAGCTCCTTCCTCATGCTTATAACATCAATAAAAATTATATGAACCATAATAAAATTCTCTTTTCGTATTCCAAACCAAATTAAACATTTAGTTTAATTAAACATGCTCTCTAACATGCCAATAATAAAAGTGTGGTTCATAATAAACATGCCAATACAATTAATTCCAATCACCAATTCACCATACATAATTCATACATCACAAATCATTTACCAACATTAATCCAATCAACAAATTCCAATCATCACCTATCATGATACTACATGGAATTAATTAAACAAAGCCTAGCATGTGTCTACATATTCAATTAATTACCAAGTACGCGAACGTACCTTGAATATGATCTCAAAATCGCCATGACTAAATAAAATCATGCACTTGAAAGTCTCTTACAAACCAAAATTACAAAGAGGCGTTAATACCTATTCCACACAAATTTCAAACAATATATACACTCTTTAAATCACTCATAAACCCTCTAAAATAAGCTGAAATTTTATTTAAAACCCTTACTTTTATTCCCAATTAATGGGTAATTATAATTCCTTTCAAGAAACCTAATTATAGCCTTTATGCAAAAATTCCAGCTTTATTAAACCATGAAAAATTGTTGTAATTATGTTTTAATACACTTATTTCAATAATTTAAATCACCCATAAACAACTCCCATCAATATACATCAAATTAGAAACCTAGGGTTTTCAATTTGGGGAATTCAAAACTAAATCTTAAAATTTATATACAAAATACTTATCATTAAACATCATAAAATCATCACAAAACCCAAAAATAATAATTAAATTTAGGGTAGATTGATTTAAAATCAAAAGAATATTTTTTTTTGTTCGGACGCCACAGCACCGACACCACAGCCGGTTGCTGCCGCACCTGTTGGTGGTGTTGTTGCTGTCGCCGGCGCATGTTGGTGGTTGCGGCGTATGGTGGTGGCCGGCGTGTGTGTGGTGGTGTGTGGGTGGTGATTGAAGCTAAAGTAAATTAAATGGGAAGGGGAAAAATTAAGGGGAAAAGAAAATAAGAGGAGAGAGAGAGTTTACCTTTGGTGCACTCCACCTTAGGAATGTGGTGGGTATTTAAAATTCCTTTACTATCCTTAATGATCATTTTCCTAGTCAAACTAGTATTTTGACTTTCCTTAAATACCATTGACTTTTAAAATTATCTTTTTATAAAATATTATGCCGCAATATTTCCAGATCATGAAATAAAATATTTTCAAGATTATTAAATAAATAAAAATAACCTTTTAATTAAAATAATTCTTTTTAAATTAATGAAAACACCATAAATAATTCATTTTGAATTATTTAAATACTTTAAGAAATACTTATTTAAATTAAAATATGTATAAAATACGGGGTATTACAGTCTATCCCCCTTAAAAGAAGTTTCGTCCCGAACTTGGGCAACGAAATTCAAACTTTTTTCCTCACTTTGTATAATATTGTTGTACTCTTTTGTCATACTTTTTCCTTTATCATCTCTTTGAAATCAAAATTACTCGAAATAACCGTTAAAAATGTGCAAAAAGCACAAAAATAACTGAAAATATAGGTTAAAAGTGCGAAATTCTACCGCATTCTACCCCTTAAAGAGCACGAGTTACGTCCCCGTAACTCAACATACCTCAAATAACTCGGGATACTTCTTTTTCATCTCATCCTCATCTTCCCATGTTACTTCCTCATACTCTTGGTTAGACCATAGCACTTTAACAATCTTAACTTCCTTATTGCGTGTACTACGCACTTTAGTGTCAAGGATCTTGAAAGGTTTTTCCTCATAAGTTAAGCTTTCATTTAACTCAATAGTTTCAGGTTGTAGCACATGTGACTTATCAGGGATATACTCTCTTAACTGAGATACATGAAATACATCATGCACTTTACTTAGCTCCATAGGTTAGGCTAGCCTATAAGCTACTTTGCCTATCTTTTGTAGTACTTCATATGGACCAATTTACTTTGGGCTAAGCTTTCCTTCTTTCAAAATCTCATTACACATTTCATTGGTGACACCTTTAACAATACTTTGTCACCGACCTCAAATTCCTCCTCTCTACGCTTCAAATCCGCGTAGCTCTTTTGGCGATCTTGCGCTGCTTGAATTTTAACTTGAATCTCCTTTACTTTTTTAACTGTATCCTCGATCATTTAAGGCCCTAAAATCATTATTTCACTTATGTCGTTCCAACAGATTGGACTGCGACATCTTCTTCCATATAAAGCCTCAAATGGAGCCATTCCAATGCTTGCATGGTAGCTATTAATATAGGAAAATTCAATTAAGTCCAAGCTATCTTCCCATCCCTCTTGGAAATCTATAACACAAGCCCTCAACATTTCTTCCAAGGTTTGAATGGTTCTATCAGTTTGCCCATCTGTGGCAGGGTAAAATGTTGTACTCATCTTAAGTGTTATACCAAAGTTTTCCTGCACACTATTCCTGAATTTTGAAAGAAACCTAGAATCTCTGTCAGACACAATATCCTTTGGAACTCCATGTAACCTCACAACATTTTTGATGTATGCTTTTGAAAGTTGCTCCATCTTCCAAGTCTCCTCATTAGTATAAACACTGTAAATTTTGGAAGTCTATCCACCACTACCCAAATGGTGTCGTTTCCATTCTTTGACTTTGGGAGGCAAGTCACAAAGTCCATTGAATTACAATCCCATTTCCATCAAGGAATTTCCAATGATTACATAGTTCCTTGCGATCTTTTGTGTTCTATCTTCACTTTCTGATAGGTCAAACACCTTGCCACAAATTCTGCAACTTTCATTCTTCATTCCGAGCCACCAATACATCTTTTTCAAGTCTTTGTATAGCTTGTCCCCTCTTGGGTGTATTGAGTATGGTGTATTGTGACCCTCTTCCATTAATTTTCTCTTTACCTCCTCACATATTTGTGGTACACACCAACGGCCTTTGTACCTTAAGCTCCCATCTTCATGAATTTTGAAATCCGTGGCTTTTCCTTGCTTTATTTTCTCACGAATCCTATCCAACTTTACATCTCCTACTTTATTTTCCCTTATCTCATCAAATATTTTTAGTTGAATATATAGATTCGCAAGTATGCCTACTGGCACTCTCCATTCTACCACTTCTAGATTCATTTTCCTCATTTCTCTTCATAACTCATCAGCCACTATCAAAGTATTCAGTCCATGACTGGTTTTACGACTTAGAGCGTCTGGAACTACATTTGCTTTCCCCTCATGATATTGTATGTCTAAGTCATAATCCGTCATATATTCTAACTATCTTCTTTGGCGTGAGTTTAAATCCCTCTGACTGAAAAGGTATTTTAAGCTCTTATGGTCTGTATAAATCCTACATTTCACTCCATACAAGTAGTGCCTCCAAATCTTTAGCGCAAAAATGATTGCAGCTAATTCTAAGTCATGAGTAGGGTAATTTACCTCATGAGTCTTCAATTGTCTTCATGCATATGCAATCACTTTCCCATTTTGCATAAGTACACACCCTAGACCATTCTTGGATGCGTCACTATATACATCATAAATACCACTATCATCTAGCAGTGAAAGCACTGGCGCTGTGATTAGCTTTTGTTTCAAGAGTTGAAATGCCTCCTTACACTTATCATCCCACTCGAACTTCTTGTCCTTCTTCATTAGAGAGATCATAGGTTTAGCAATATTCGAGAAATCTTTCACAAAACGCCTATAATACCCTGCTAAACCTAAGAAACTCCTGACATCAGACACTGCTTTTGGCGTAGGCCAACCATTCACTGCCTCGATCTTGGTCGGATCTACTTCTACCCCATTTTTTGACACAAAATGGCCCTGGAATGCTACCTTCTCCAACCAAAACTCACACTTAGAGAACTTTGTGTAATGCTTGTTTTCCCTTAGTGTTTGCAGAATTGTCCTCAGATGTTCTACATGTTCTTCTTTACACTTCGAATACACTAGTATATCATCTATGAACACTACCACAAACTTGTCCATAAATGGATGAATCACCATGTTCATCAAGTCCATAAAAATTGCTGGAGCATTCTTCAATCCAAAAGGCATTACTGTGAACTCATAATGTCCATATCTTGTTCTAAATGCAGTCTTGGGAATATCTTCATCTGCAATCCTAAGTTGATGGTATCCAGACCTTAAATCAATCTTAGAAAATAAAGTTGCGCCTCTTAACTGGTCAAATAGGTCATCAATTCTTGGTAATGGGTACTTGTTCTTTATGGTGACCTTATTTACCTCCCTATAATCAATACATAACCTCATACTTCCATCTTTCTTCTTCACAAATAACATTGGCGCTCCCCAAGAAAATGCACTTGGTCTTATATAACCCTTTTTCTAACAAATCCAGCAATTGCTCCTTTAACTCACTCATCTCTATAGGTGCCATTCGATATGGTGCCTTGGAAATTGGCGATGTTCCTGGAACTAGCTCTATTGTGAAATCAATTGCCCTTTTGGGTGGCATTCTAGGAATCTCTTTTGGAAACACATCCAAAAACTCATTTACTACTTTTATATCCTCAGGCTTAGTTGTCTCCTCATGCTCCATATTCCTCACACTATAAAAATACACTGGATGCCCCTTCTTAATATACTTTGCCAATTTTAGCACATATATGATCCTTGGGCACTTGGTTTCACCATGCATCCAATATGTCACTAACTCATTATCAGCTGTACTCATTTTTACTTTCTGCGATCGATAACTAATCACTGCACTGTACTTGCTCAATCAATCCATTCCCAGAATGACATCTAAGTCACTCAATCCAAACTCAATGAGATCCGATAAAAACACTTTTCATTCTATTTCTAAAGGTACATCTTTAAAAGTCTTATTACATTTTACTACCCCACCCGTAGGAATAACTATAGGTAAATCTACCTCATCTAGGTTTCAAACAGTTTGATAATTTTAAAACAATAGCCTTTGAAATGAAAGAAAAAGTTGCACCAGAAACAAACAAGACTTTAACAGGAATAGAGTTTATAGAAAAGGTACCAGTGATGACATCTTTCGTGGAATTAGCCTCATGCCTACTTATAACATTCAACTTTCCTACAGTTCCACCTTTCTGTTGGTTGTTTCCATTACTATTGTTAGTTTTTGCCGCATTTTGTTGTACTCCCTTGTTCCCAGAATAGTTCTTGCTCCCCTGAAAGTTTCTCTGAGCCCCTCCTTAATTATTCCCTTGTTTGTTTCGATTGGGATCCTTGGAGAAACATACATACTCCTTGTGTCCTAACTTGTTGTAAGCATGACAAGTAACCAAATTTCCATCACAATCCCTACCAGGGTGGTTATTCTTGCACCTTTTGCAAAAATAACGCCTTCTATCCTTATTATATCCCTGGGTAGAGTTCTTAGCTCCACCATTAAAGTTTCGTCCTCTATGACGATTGTTACCTTGGAAATTGTTGTTGTTGTTGTTATGGTGGTACTTTTGCTTTTTAAAGTTGTTCTGGTTACCTTGCGGTTTTCCAAAATTTTGTCCCACCTCTTTTCTCTTTTCTTTCCCTTTTATCTCAGCTAGCTCTTTCCTTTTCTTCAGCTCCAACGCATAAAGATGTGCAGCTCTCCCATACACTTCATCCAAGGTTTCAAATACTTGCCCACACAGCTTTAACTGCAAATCAGTAGTCAGACCACTCTCAAACTTCCTAGCCTTAGACTTATCTGTAGAAACAGACTCCTTAGCAAATTATGACAACTCAATAAACTTGGTGTAGTATTTAGTGACTGACATATTCCCCATCGCAAGGTTGGAAAATTCCTAAGCTTTTTGTTTCTATAAGAAGCTAGGGTAAAACTTGTCCCTAACCTTCTCCTAAAACATAGTCCAGTCAAATCCAGGTAATGCCTTAATGGTAGCTTCATTTTGCTGCCACCAAAGGTCAGCTTCACCCCTAAGGTAATAGGTAGCACAACCTACTTTCGAATTCTCTGGACACCCTACTGCCCCAAACAGTTTCTTAAACTCCCTCAACTAGTTTTACAGTATAATTGGATCAAGCTCTCCTTGATAGGTCGGTGGCTTGCTCTGCGCCACCTTCTTAAACAACTCTCCCTGAGCATCTACATTATTGGTTGAGTTCCTTGCCAACTGTTGGGCAACAACTACCAACTGCCTCACAACTTCACTTAGTTCTCCTCCATCATTGTTGTTACCATTCCTTCCTGCCATCTTTCTTCGCCTGAACTAAAACAAAGGGGTCTTTATTTAATACGGTCTTTGCTAGCTCTCAAGTTAGACTCTCATCCACCTAACTCACACCCTTGACATATACACATTAAGTTTTAAGCTAACAAATTGGAATTAAATTTCCCAAAATATGCAGCTTTGTCAACCGAATATTGATTGCTAACCAACCACACATTTAATAAAGCATCACATTAATAAATAAAAATGATTCCCATGGATTCCTAAAGTGTAAAATTGAATTATTGGAATATTTTTGAGTAAGAAATGGCTTATTGGAGTAGTGATACAAAATTAATGATTTGGGAACAAAATTAATGATTTGTCAATAAAATGAATTAATTGACAAGGAAATAAATGAAATTGTATTGCTGAGTAAGAAAATGAATGGAATACTGAAATAAAATGAGTTTAAATAACTTCTGCAACTACATAAGACAGTGAATGATTATAGCAGAAGCACGATCAGGAAGATCATAGTGCTTGTCTCCTAAGACATTGCTCATGTGGGAACAATAGAATTGAATTTTGTTGACATAGTCAAACAGATGATCATTGTCTTTCTTAATTAGAGTACCAATTTGGGAAATGCTAGGAAGAATTGGCATCCTGAAAAGGAAAAGGTTTAGAAAAGAATTCCTTTCCCCAAAAAAAAAAAACAATACAATTCTTGCATGAATTAGGTTCAATGTTCAATCAAACAATTTCACTCATTCCTAATCACATAATCACATGCTTTCAATCAGTTCACATGATCAAACATCACAACCTAAAGTTTAATGCATACAAGAACATGATTATTTCTAACTTATATGCCCAAATTCTTTCCTACCCAAGCTCACCAATATGCTTTTAGAAGCTTTTAACACATAATACTTACCTTAATCCTTGCTTTCCTGCAAAATGAACAAACTAAAAAAAAAAAAATATTTTTGACTCCTCTTT